AAGACAGAAAAGTAACGTATCACACTTTCACAATGAATCAACACCTTGTGATTTTGCGGATAGCAAGATTCTGTAACTTCACGAATCAACTTGTATGATGGAAACAATAAGCAATTCTTTGCTATCAAACAACTCATCATATTTTCTTACTGTGCCTTGTTCAGATCCAATTCTATAAAAATGCTAAGATCTTCATCTTTTGAATATGCTGTTATATTTGTCGGTTCATTAAGAAAATTACTGCGTATTTCACTCTTTTTTTCTGACGGCCATGCTCGTAAAATATCAACGATGAATGCTTCATCTACTTCACCACGTGACCTTAAACCCTGTACATATGAGTTCAGTATGAAATCAAGTCCATAGGTATCAAGCAGTCCCTTGTTTTTCCGTTTCTTTGTACTCTCTGAACTGTCATTGTATCTTTTAGAAGGTCTTCCTCTTTTCTCTGTCGAAGTAGTAGGTTCAGGTTCGCATGTTGTTTTTTCTAGATTTACAGTGAAAATGACATTAAACCAATTGCTATTTTGATTTAAAAACTGTTCTTTCTTTCGACCACATTTCGTATAGCGTTGACGAAACTGAGTTATGAAGGACTTCTAAATACTTGCGAATATAGCAAAAATTCTATATTCACATCTGAAGATTCGGTAATATTATTTCGTACATAGTTTGAGATATAATCAATATAATTTGTATCACTTTCAACAATAAGAGACTTAAGTCGCGTCCGGTACACGAGACTTCACTTATTGCGGAGAGATAAGTAATTAACAATTGTTTAGAAATAACAAATGCTTATAAAGAACTGTAATATTTCATATGTAAATGCACTATTTTATACTTAATAATGATCATAGACGTGTGCAAAATTACTTCATTTAAAAAATTCATCATTATGCGGTTATGCGGTAAAGAATAGGTCTGTATGGAAATGGGAACTAAATACTATGTGAAATACTTGTTAAAAGTAACGTAAAAGATAAAATATAAAGTAATAATTGAGACAAAAGTATTTTTTTGAGTGTCCAGACAGATAATCTCAAATAAAGAAAAAAATCTTAATATACGTACTTAGAAAAAAACATTCTCACCATGATATTATACTAGATTTAAATATATTACGCAGTAAAACTGCAAAAAAAAATCTTTTGCCCTCAAATTACATTATATTTCCTAATAAATTAAACCAAAATCAGAACTTCGGCAAGCTTCGGCAACTGTCAAATCTCCAACTGAAAGTTTGAGAAAAGAAAATAATACATATAACGATATATGGTTCTTTGGTTAAGTAATATTGTACTAAACTAAATATATTTTTATTTTATAGTAAAGTACACATTCTAAGCATTTTAAAATGGTATCACACTATATGACTTCTATTGTTTTGATACTATAAAATTATACCAAACGAAATTTAAGTTTCATAATTATTTTTGTATTTTTTTCATTCCTTGACTTTAGATGCTCTGTTCTATGAAGTATGAACAGTGACAGATTTGAATCATACTTATAATGACAGAGTAACTCTTTAGCTACAATTTGAGGTATTATACATGCATATCCACAGAGTTTTAGAAAAAGTATTTATGAGATGGCTTTCTTAGGAGAGTTCCCACTGTGCGTCGCTGGTATCACGTTATATTTTTTTCTATTAATCTAGAAACAAATTGGACGATGTTATAATTTACCTCAGCTCTAGTGATGGATGGATAATATCCAACAATAGGGGGGAAAGGGATTGTTAGTGATGGAGACTGAGAATCCCATTGCTAGCAATATACCCAACCAGGTTGACCTCCTCGCGGTTCCCCCTGGAAACTATCATGGTTAATGCCAGTGGAGGAGGAAAAAGGATTGTTAGTAATGGAGACTGAGAATCCTATTGCCAGCAATATACCCAACCAGGTCGAACTCCTCGCGGTTCCCCCTGGAAACTATCATGGTTAATTCCTGATGAATTCATCATGATCGGCTAACTGGCCTGTTTTCATTCTCATCTATCACCCTTCACTGGTGCTCCGCCAGCGTATCCCGTTAGCGCAGGCGGGGTTACCATAACATTTTCACCCATCAAAAAAATATCTAGCAATATCTGTATATTGCAATTATAATTTCTATATATTGGCCCAATAAATAATATATTAAATTTTGATTATCCAATATATAATATAAAAATGAAATACCCAATCGAAATAAATATAGGTAAATGACTGTTATGGGACGATATCAAAATGAGTGACGGCCGCCCGTCCAACGGTGGCAATGACATAATGATCTCATCTGCATTATCGGTATACATTGGCAACAGATACTTTGTACAAAAGTCGATTGTTTGGGTACCTCTGTCCCATTCGTGTTTCAACCGTGAAGCAGTTGTGTTTGCATGGCTGTGTTTCGGTTTGGAGGGTAGGATATGGCAGTGACTTTACAGGGTACAGAGTACAGTTTATTTTTTCAGCCGTTAACTGTCCACTGCTGGACATAAGCCTTCCCTATAAGAGGAGTGTTTCCAGTAGTTGCCACACTTGGCAGGCGGGTTGGCAACCGCAATTAGGCTTCAGAGATGTTTTAAGAGGGACGCTGCTGCCCATCCCTCGCTCTTATTCGCCTCTTACAATACCCACTGAAAAGGTGGCCTTTTCTATGCCGGGACCACATAGAGATTTGCCTCTATAGTGGTATAAAAAATAATTAATAGACGAAATTAAGAAAGATCTTTTGGAATTTACATAAAAAATTTAGGAGTACTCGCCACAAGTTGGTCATAAATACTCATATAAAAACATCTTGCGCGCTCGCCTCGCATTTCTAATGTAAGTATTCAAAACTTTTCAGATCCAAGTCTTTAATTAAGTCAGGTATAACTCCGCGGAAGTTCATTACATTAACTACTGAATTAGTGTCATTAAACAAAGTGGAGTTAAACGAAATAGCTGCCTGTTAAACTTTGGAAGCAGGTTCAGTTTCAAACAACTAATCGAGAACCGATTATTACTATATTTTTAACTGGCTTTTGAATAACGAATCTGTTTTAAAGTATTTTTAAAGACTAACTTTTATATTGCAATCCAGAATTATTTTTTAATGGATGATAATGTGGACGAATTTGTCCGCCGGCTGGCACGCGCTATGTTCAGCCGGGCGGATAATAGCGTCCACCCCCATTTAAGGGACCTCGCCCCACTCCATGCGCGTCCCCCGGACGCAACGCGCGCATTGCCGCGAGATCTCCTGCGCACAGCAGACACAACGCAGGGCGACGGTTCAACCGGCCCTGCACGGTCGACGACGTGAATAAATTTCCCCATTTCCCATTTCTCCCACAAGAAATGTTTCCCCTAGCCGACACTATTCACAATAGTGTCGGCTCGGCCCCACGGGTCGAAAACATCGACGCGTAGGCGGCAGCCTACGCAGTATGCGCCCGGGCAAAGAGCGATTGCTCGAGGCCCGCACCTGCAACCCCGTAAAGGGCTGCGGATGAACCTTTGTTGTTGGATGATAATGGAATGGTAACCCTGCCTGCGCTAACGGTATACGTTGTCGGGTACCAGAGGGATGATAGGTGAGTCTGAAAAGGCTGGTCAGTTAGCCCATCGTGGTAAATACACCTGGAATTCAGCACGATGGTTTTCAGGGGGGACTATGTGGAGGGGGACCTGACAGGGTATATTGCTAGCAATTGGAGTGGTGGTCCGTATCACTAAAACAATTCCATCCCCCCCTCACTAATTCGTGGTTTTAGAATGTCGGCCATATTGAATTTAGTGTTTTTTATAACACGGGGCAAACGAGCACGCGGCTCACCTAATGGTAAGTGACTACCGCCGCCCATGATCACCCACAACACCAGCGGCATTGCACGTGTGCTGCCGGCCTTTTAAAGATTGAATATGCTCTTTTCTTAGTGCTTATGTATTGTATTGTTTATAATTACTCCTCTCCATCCAAAGGTTGCCTGGAAGAGATCGCTCTTAGCGATAAGGTCGCCCATTGTTTTCTCATTGTGATTATTTTTTGTAATTATTTATATTTATAATAAGTTTACTATTGTAATCTTTTGGAGGAAACAATAAAAAGTATCTATCTATCTATCTATATTGTATTGTATCCGCCATTACTTGCACCTGTAAAAGGAATTTGTGTGCAAACGACACGAGACGATATAAATATCTGTATTATGGCTCACCGCAAATAAACCTGAGTTTACTGCATCCACTTAGAAATATTTTACTTAGTAACACTTTCATATTGTTAATGCACATGGCTTGCTTTTTACACAACTGCATAAAATGGGAGTATAACGTTTTCAGGGATCGTATATGTGAGTTTCTTTATGCTATCATAACTACTAAATACCTAAACAGATTTTAATGTTTAGAGTATCGTTCAGAACGAGTATCGTTCCTTTCATTATTAATTCGTAAGTGATAATATTAATTTTTTTTTCTTATGAAAACAAGAAAACTTGCAAAATTGTTTCCTTTAGTGGGGGGGGGGGGAGGTCATACTACGTTTCCTCGTACGTGATCGCCACTAACGTCCTCATCGGTTGTAGTTACTAAAGCTATGTGACCAGCCCATTGCCACATCAGCTTGCTTATCCTTCGGCCTATATCGGTGACTTTTGTTCTTATGCGGATTTCCCCTTTTTGGATTCTGTCACACGAAGAAACTCCGAGCATAGCTCTCTCCATAGCTCGCTGAGTAATTTATAATATGCTTTATAATAATTACTTTAAAAGCACTTTTTAATAATCAGGGGCGATTCAAAATTGGCGAATTTTCGAAAGGTTCCTTTAATAAAAATGAGATTAGAATTGTCTTTAAATATAGATTATAATATTTTTTTTACTACTTATATTAAAAATATATAAATATAAAAAAATTATACTTCTATTACAAGCATGTTACACTATTGTGTGTTTCGTATATGTGGTATCGACTTTTACATCATAATTATATTATTAAATAATTAACATTTTTATTCATTACAGATCGTCTGGTCACACGTCCGAACTCTATCAACATGAGAATAGAAATGACGAAATAGTTCGAAATTCAAATCGCCGACATGGGAAGTGGGCTCAGTAGTACCAACAGCAAAAAATGGCAAGGCAAGAAACGGGAGGTGCCCCCACACGCGGAGTCCTCCAGAATATTGTTTCTTCTATACCTCATACACAGAACATGGAATGTCGTTCTTGAACATGTTGACTCAAAGAGCGCGAGGTAAGTTGACCGATTTTTATTTTTATTTGTGACTTCTATTAGCTGTAAAATTATTGTGAAAATATGACAATTATATTGCAATATTTATTGAATGACTAACTTTTACCCGCGACTCTGTTCGCGTAACCGAGATATGTTCACTGACCGATATAAAAAGCAGCCTAGGTACTCTTTTATAACCTCTTACCTAATTACGTGTATACCAAATTTCATAGTGCTTGTTTAAGCTATTATGGCGCTAAGAAGTAACAAACGATCAAACAAACTTTAACAATAGTATATGGGGGGAAAGGGATTGTTAGTAATGGACACTGAGAATCCCATTGCTAGCAATATACCCAACCAGGTCGACCTCCTCGCGGTTCCCCCTGGAAACTATCATGGTTATTTCCTGATGAATTCATCATGATGGGCTAACTGGCCTGTTTTCATTCTCATCTATCACCCTTCCCTGGTGCTCCGCCAGCGTATCCCGTTAGCGCAGGCGGGGTTACCATACCATTTGTACACATAAAAAAAAAAATATTAACAGTATTGAGTAAAGACTAACTGTAGAAATCTTATTAAAATATAAGTGTGACGTATTTATTGGTTTCGGGATGGTTTGTGGGATCATCGGCTGTAGTGTTCGCACAGTATACGTACAGTGCGAGCATTGTAGCGGATGCACCATACTAATATTGTTATGAAACCTGTAGGCCTACCATGAAATGATTTCCGAAATTTCTGAGACGAACGAAACAGAAATTTGATGATAAATTTACATAATACATGCCGTGTAAAATTATTAAAAATGTTAAAATATCGTTCCTCTGGACTATTAGGATAGGATTTATGATGAACGAAATGTTAAGCTCCATTTACTGGCGCGATTTCGGTACGAACAAAAACACGAAATTGAGCCCGAAAATTCGGAATTTCATTTCATGGTAGACCACATGGTTTTATTTGCTTAACGGATGCTTATGTTTTGCGCTGTGAATAACTATAATTGGCTAATACGTAGTAAATGTAATTTAATATGTATTTAATTTTGTAAAAAGCTGTTGTTATCACAAATAAAATAAATAAATAAAAATAATAGTCCAATAGTATAATAAAGTGATTAAAAGATTTTGAACAGGGCAAGGTTTGAATCCCGCACCTTCTACACTATGCTGGGGTCAGTGCTTTTACTAGTTTCCTTTTGTTTTGACGGATGAAAATGGAATGGTAACCCCGCCTGTGCTATCGGTATACGCTGTCGGGGCACCAGTGAAGGATGATATTTTTTTTTATACTATTGAGATGGCATGCAAGCATACTCACCTTCAGGTAAGCGATTACCGTAATCCGTTAAGGTAATCCGTTTGTTGAGTCAACAAAACCAGCTCTAGTTACAGGTTACTCAATAGTTATTATATCTTATAATGCTTATCGTTGTTTTAATTTATGTATATGTATGTATTATGTATGTGTATATATATATATATATATATATATATATATATATATATATATATATATATATATATATATTTATATATTATATTTATATATTTCATATGTTTTAGTTTATCCATATATATTAAAAGTAATGTTTATGTATTATATGTGCATTTCTTATGTGTATATTATATTTATATTGTGTATTGCCTTAATGTGTTACTATAATTGTCACATATTTTTCACCACATCAGCCCTTCATACGCTTTCTGTTTTTACCCAATGGTTAGCTGGTAGAGAATGCCATATGGCATTAAGCTCGCCATTTGTACAAAATTTTATTGTACAATAAAGATTAAATAAATAAATAAATAATCTATGAACGGCTGCAATACCAAGAGTATTGCAGGCGTTTTATTATTTATTTTATTCTGTATCAGCCGAAAACTGGACTCTGGTCCTCTCTACTTTTTTTGAACTATCATCATTACCATCATCATCATCATCGTATCAGCCTTTAACTGTCCACTGCTGAACATAAGCCATATCCCCCTTGGGGGGTTTTCCCGGTAGTTGCCTCGCTAGACAGACGGATTGGCAACCGCAGTTAGATTTTGATAACGTTTTAAAAGGGACGCTGTTAAACAATATTTTTAATTAATTAACTGAGATTTCTCAGTTTCTGTGCTGATGGTTATCTTAGTTATAACCGTTTAATAACCGAAGTTAATCCGTTATCTGGTTAGGATAAATAGATGATTTATTATGTCATAAATACTGAACTAACTACTCGTATAAGAGAAAGATAATGCTTCGGTATGATATATTGTTTTATATTACGTATTATACAATAATACTATGGTTAATAGTTAACTAGTTACATTTTACGGCTTTGTCTGCGTGATTTAGGACAAATCGCCTGAGAGAGGAATAACATCTCAGTCCTCAGGAATGGCAACGTATAGGGGGTATCATGGGCGAAACAGTATACTCTGTTATGTCCATGGTACTACTCATGTCTATAGGCAACGGTTACCACTTTCCATCAGGTGGACCGTCAGCTTGTTTGCCATTCTAAGTTGTATAAAAAAAAGGAACGATGTTGCCCATTCCTCGACCATTAAATTCCTTTAGTCACCTTTTGCGACATCCATGGGAAAGAAAGGGAGTGGTCCATTCTACGCTGGGAGCACACGGCTTCATTTGACCTTTCATAGCGAATTTTCCACAATCCTCCTCAATGTTACATTAAAAATATTGACTGTAACGTTCCAGATGGCGGGGCTCCCACACAGTGCCGAGTTCCGCCGAGGGCCTCGCCCAGAGATTCGATTCTGTCAGCCTCGCGGACTCCGACGCTGGTTCCTGCTACTCAACGTGCAGCTGCAGCTACTGCAGACTCCGGGAGTGCGCCCAAGATTGTATCAGGTATAATTCATTGAAAAACTATATACTTTCCATAAATACATATGTGAATTTACAAGCGCAGTGTGGGACGACCTTCGGTTAGGTGGAGTGAAGGTCTGTGTAAGGTGACCATGATTATTCTAGACAAAAATATGAATGGTTTCGTGAAATAAATTACCTTCTAAAGAGATAAACGGTATTTTTTTGACGGTGACGACGCCGGTGGGCTGATGATATAACAGAATATACATGAAAAGACTGGTTTGTGATAGGCAGAAACAGAGAGTTGTGGAGAAAGGTGGAGGAGGTCTTTACCCAAAGAGCGGTTCATATCCAAGAATTAAAATAAGAATTGTACTAACAGTTAGTTATTAAGAAAAATTATAAATAGATTAGATACTAACAATACTGTAAATATATTAGGGGTATGAAAATAAATACTAATAATGCGACGATATATTAAAAATGGAGTAACTTCTCCCGTTTTCCCAACATTTCCGTTCACTGCTCTGCTCCTATTGATCGTAGCGTGATGAAAAGTATACTATAACCTGCCCAGGAGTATGAAGAATAATTGTACCAAGTTTCGTTAAAATCCGTCGAGTAGTTTTTGTTTCTATAACGAACATTTAGACAGACAGACAAAAATTTTACTGATTGCATTTTTGGCATCAGTATCGGTCACTAATCACCGCCTGATAGTTATTTTGGAAATATATTTCATGTACAGAATTGACCTCTCTACAGATTTATTATAAGTTTTTTTTTTATATAACTTAGAATGGCAAACAAGCTGACGGCCCACCTAATGGAAAGTGGTAACCGTCGCCTATAGATATGAGCAGTATCATGGACATAACAGAGTATACTGTTCATGTACAGAATTGACCTATCTACAGATTTATTATAAGTATAGAAGATAGATGTCGTCCATTTTACTTGAAAAATAATCTTTCAGTGTATAAAAACATTTTGTAATTAACCATTTACATAAAATGACTTTAAACCTTTTCAAACACAGATCAGTAAGCGAATTTGGTAGTTTGAATTAATTAGAATTATTCTCTTCTTTTCCAGGTATGTGTCTACTTATGTAACGAGATAGCCTTTAAGAAGACTAATTACATCTGTAAATGACGTAATGAAACATCAAAATTCATGGATATGGAGAAATGAAAATTCTCGGAAATATCTAGAATTTACAGCGACAAGAACTGCTGAGAAATAGCTGAAATCCTTGTATTACAGAATCGTTAATATTATAAATGCGAAAGTTTGTTTGCTCGTTTGTTACGCTTTCACATTTTAAACCGCTGAATAGATTATGATGAATTCTGCTATAGAGATAGATGGGATCTTAGAGACGATTATAGGGTACTTTTTCTCCCTGTGTTTCTGTTTGAAGGGTGAGATATGGCAGTGAATTTACAGGGTACGGAGGAATAACACCTGAGTCCTCAGGAATGGCAACGCATGGGGGGTATCATGGGCGAAACAGTATACTCTGTTACGTCCATGGTACTGCTCATGTCTATAGGCGACGGTAACTATTTTCTATTAGGTGGACCGTCAGCTTCTTTGCCATTCTAAATTGAATAAAAAAAAAAGCTAAACAAATTTTAATCTCTCACTCTTTTCAGTGTTATCATTAATTCATTAATTTCTTACTCAAGAGAATACGACGACCATTGCCTTATTATCACAACAGAAAATTACCTAAAAGGTGTTTTAACTCAACATTTAAAAACGCCCTTTCATCTCTGTCCAAATGATGGATACGGAAAGTTTAAATAAACCCAGATCCAGTGACCAGATAACGAGTTAAATTTCGACCGACCATTTTTCCTGTGAGATTTAGTTTTTTTTTCGAGGAAATTATTTTAAAGAAAGACATATAAATACCAGAGAGAGACTTTGTACAAAAGTTGATTGCTTGAGTACCTCTGTCCCATTCGTGTTTCAACCGTAAAGCAGTTGTGTTTGCATGGCTGTGTTTCGGTTTGAAGGGTGGGATATGGCGTGAATTTATAGGGTACAGAGCAATAACACCTGAGTCCTCAGGAATGGCAACGCATGGAGGATATCATGGGCGAAACAGTATACTTCGTTATGTCCATGGTACTGCTCATGTCTATAGGCGACGGTTACCACTTTCCATCAGGTGGGCCGTCAGCTTGTTTGCCATTCTAAGTTGTATAAAAAGAAGAAAAAAATTGTATAGTTAAAAATATTTATTTATTTTAACTCTTTATTTCACCAAAAAACACAAAAATAAACAATGATATATAAATAATTTAACTGAAATACAGTAGCGTGAAGTACAGATTAAAATATACACATAAAGGTACAAAAGGCGGTCTTATCACTAGGGCAATCTCTTACAGACAATCTTTGGTTAAAGGAGAACAGATAGAAGTGGGCAGGTGGTGCAAGAGTGAATTAATAATTTTTACATATAATGCACAAAAACATCAAATTGTTCATTAAATATACCGCAGTTAAAGTGTTTTAAATAGCTGATCTCAGTGACTAAACCTCTGGATTTTTACTGTCTATTTTTTTATTTCAATTGCTCTGATTTCTTGTTATTCGCCCGTTGTAATATGATTTCTCGGGGGGAAGGGATTGCTAGTAATGTGGATTATCAGTCCCATTGCTAACAATATACCTTTACAGGTCGACCTCCCCGTGGTCTCCCCTGGAAACCATCGTGCTGAATTCCAAGTGTATTTATCACGATGGGCTAACTGGCCTGCCTTTTTTCATTCTCGTCTATCATCCCTCACTGGTGCCCCGCCAGCGTATACCGTTAGCGTAGGCAGGATTACCATTCCATTATCATTCATTAAAAAAAAATGATTTCTCAGGGGTAGAGGGACTATCGGCCCCAATGCTAGCAATATACACTGTCAGGTGCAACTCTATAGAACCCCCACCATTTTGAAACCATCGGAGTAAATTCTTATGAATTCATCATGATGAGTCAGTTTGCCCCATTAACCTGCATTCATCCTCTCCTGTCATCCCTCATTTGTGCTCCGCTAATGTATAGCCGATAGCTCAGGCTGACTGTTCCATTATTATCCATTAAAAAAAAAGTATGATTCCTTATAAAATTCGAATTAATTCTAAGAATAGCAATTTTTTTAATGAATGATAATGGAATGGTAACCCCATTTGCGTTAAAGGTATACGCTGGCGCGGTACCAATGAGAGGAGGATAAGTGAGAATGAAAAGGCAGGTGAGTTAGCCCATGATGTGGTGAGTGCGAAAGCGAACCCATGTCTCCGACATATGGCACCTCAAGGATATATCGTCTGGTTTTTGGTGGGTACACCCCCACCTTACGGGGGGATTCCCACAGTACCCATTCACCTCCCACAAGGTGTATGGGTCTGCTAAAGCATTTTCCAGACGTTAAAAAAAAAGTCGAGTTAGGCCATCGTGATGAATTTACAAGAAATTTCGCACGATGGTTTTCAGGGAGGACCACGTAGAGGTCGACCTGATAGGGTATATTGCTAGCAAAGGGACTGGTAATCAGCATTACTAACAATCCCTCCCCTCCCCCGCCCCTGAAAGTTTCTAGCATGACTTTACTCAAACTCAACTGGTTTATGAAGTAATCAAAACTGAATATTAGGACCGAGATTGCAACATATAACTACAATTGTAGGTCCAATTTTGGTAGGAGATAGGTTCTTAATTCACTTAAGTGATAGATTCTGAATTCACTGAATTTAGGGTTGCCAGAAGAGGTATTTGATTTTTGCCCAAAAGTTGAATATTTTTTTCTCCAAATCAATATGATTTCCTCTGCTTTTAATCACACACAGCATTGTGTCAATTTTCACTATGTTTTGCCATGAATCACAAAACGAACGATGAAAAAAAAACCGCTCTTCCGCGTAATTCTACTTTTATCTTCTTACTGATACTTTACTACTTACCAATACTGCCAAACAATTGCAACAAACAAATATACTCTGTTATGTCCATGGTACTGCTCATGTATATAGGCGACGGTTACCACTTACCATCAGGTGGGCCGTCAGCTTGTTTGCCATTCTAAGTTGTATAAAAAAAAAATTAACAGAAATTTAAAAGATTAACTGTTGAATTTCTTGTGAACCCTTCTCAGCAGATAAAAACTTTTCTAAGTCTGCAACATAAAAAAAAATTACGTTTTGAAAGTGCTTGTACAAGAGTTTGTTTGAATAAAGTCGATTTGAATTTGATAATTTGATTTTTTTAGTCCATTTCACTTACATACATACATACATACATACATATATACATACATACATATCTGTCACGCCTGTCTCCTATTAGAGTAGGCAGAAACAATGGAACGCCAAATGCTTCGATTCAAACAAACCTCTTTCGCTTCTTCCACATTCATGCATTTCACTTCTCTCCAAAAATTTCATTTCTCTAAAATTTTGCGAACATAAATTGTTTTACCCAAAATAGCGAAAAATAAAACCAATCTGGCAACGCTGACTTAACTAATCCTCGCGCGCTCCCTTTGATATATACGCAGTAGCGTCGGATATGTAGTATAAGCTCTCTCATAAATGAACAAACACAGTTCAAAGCTGCAGTTCCATTCAATCGATTTAAATCACTGAAACAAAAGGTTTTAACGACTTCCATGTTGCAGACTATTATGCGAGTAACTTATGTCTTTTACACAGATATAAAATGAAATAGATGTCGCAATTACAATAATGTTATTATATTTTTTTTATTCTTAAAAGTTCAACCATTCGAACATACATACATTTACATATATAATTTCTACAAACAATGTTTATTATTACGACACAGATTTTTCACCTTGTTTGACTTTATTTTGCAAATGTTGTATTCGAAATTAATTTTGTGCTAGAACGCAAAACAACAATTTGAGGTTAACATTTTTAATGTATTTATTTATTTAACTCTTAATTGCAGTAAAAACATAAAAATAAATAATGACATATAAACAATTCAGCTGAAATATAGTAGCATGGAGTGC